AATTTAAGTGGTATCTTTATATAAATTTTTTTATATTGTATGCTGTTGAATATTTCAAGAACAGATTTTGCAAAAAAAGACTTGATTTAAAAATTTTTGTTACTAAGAAACTATTTAAAAATCTAAAAATGTCGAATGTTTCCCATTAAGAAAACGAGTTACAAAAAGACTACAAAGGAAAATATTATATTTTTTTATTTTTTTTTTTCTTGTAAAATGATTTACATTCACATTAACATTTAATAAATCAATACAACCGACACATTCAAAACAAATTTATCGACAAAAAATAATTCATATCTTATAAATTCATAATGAAATAAGCTTTTAGTTGCTTATAATTAATATAAAAAACGTAAATTACCCCATAATAAATATAGAAATAACTACAATTTTCCAACGTTTAATGATAATAATATACATATTGGGAATAGTTTAATAATTATATATCTGGCATTTGGTTTATTTTACATAAAACTAATTACATAGGTACTCTAAAATAATTACCATACTAAATGGGTAATAGAATTCCCATCATAGTTTGAAAACACTTTGTTAATTGTTACGTGCTACAATAGCTGATCGTGATTTATTGGATTAATAAAAAACTTGTTTTATAGATTAGAAGAAGAAATATTCAGGTTTTCATTTTACATTTACAATAATTTTTCTGTTTATCAAATGTTTAATTCACGTCTATTTTTAACAAATGAGGTAGACGTGATTTTGCAAATTAACAAATTGCTTATTTTTTTTAATAACTACGTTTTATTTACGTACAACAGCTTGTAGACTACAATAGAAGATTTTTTTATTGTATCTAATTATATTTTATTAGAATATATTACGTTTTGGATTTCCTGAAGTATTTAATTTCAATTTACATATTTCGTTTTGATAGTCGCATGTATTAGTATTTCTTTATTTATTATAGGAGTATCATAAAACACGTTTCTGAATAATTAAAAAAATTATCTGCTACAAAATTTATTGAAACAAAAAAGCTTTTCTTCATTTTCATAGAACCTGCTGCTTAAGAGAAAACTTAAAGAGATGTTAAAATAAAAAATATATATACAGGGTGTCCCGGTACTTGATACAAAAAAGTCTAGTACAGATAAATGAGGTCAAAATAATATAAATTCTTCAAATACTTTTCATTCGGGCCTTCCTTAACAAGTTACGGGACCTCAAAGGTGAAAATTAAAAAGTTGTTTTTATTTACATAATCTAAACTATTAACTTCAGCATAATGCAAATTTAGTGATTGATAACACATGCGTACAGTTTGTTTTTGATGTTATAAGTGAAACTTCATTATGCCCAGAACGCCAGGGACGGACTATGCCCAATGGTTAACAACCCAGAATTTTTGCATAAATGACGATCGGAATCTGCCTGCATCAAAAATAAGTTCCCTGGAAAATTTGCCAACGATAATACCCTCTTGGTCAATATCGGTAAAATTGACAGTTTAGGAAATATTTGTGATTTTGTCACGGTGGTCATCAAGAGGCGCCTCCGCCGTTTTTTGTTTTTAATTTTTAATTGGACATAATTACTATGATAGAACCGTACATATTTTCAAAAAAAAAGGGCCTAGAAAATCTTACTGTCTGCTAATGTAATTTGATAAACACAGTTTACACATAACACAAACTATAAAAAAAAACTAGAATAAGTTAATAAGTTAAAGTAAGTTAAAAAATAATTTAAAAGATAGAAAACTATCAAAATACATTTTCAATATGGACACCTTCCTCCTCCACACACTTCCTAAGTCTAAGAATGTTATCTGTTTGTACTCGAAATAGAATTTCTGGGGTATGTCTAATATTATCACAATGGAAATTAATTCTTTGTAGCAATTCATCCATTGTCTGTACTGGTGTTGAGTACATTAAACTTTTAAGATATCCCCACATGAAGAAGTCTATCGGGTTAAAGTCTGGAGAACTAGGCGGCCATGAAATTGGGTCTCCTCTCCCGATCCATTTATTATTAAACATAATGGATAAATAATTTCGTACATCAAGATTGAAATGGGGAGGAGACCCTTCGTGCATGAACCAAACGTTTCTTTGGGTGTCTAATGGAACATCGTCTAATAGTGGCTGCAAATTATTTTACAAAACCTCCAAATATCGATGTTCATTCAGACATTCGTCAAAAACATATGGAGCTATTAAATTATTACCCCCTATTCCTGCCCATACATTAATAGTGGGTAATAATTTAATAGGTCTATACGTTTTTGATAAACGTCTGAATGTACATCGACATAATAATAGTAATAATAATAATAACAATAATAATNAAGTCGGGGACCCTCTGAGGTGGATTTTAATTTTAATTTTAAAAAGGCTAATTTTCCCGCTTTATATCAGGAACTGTCATTGGTTGACTGGTCTCCTTTAAAAAGTTTTACGTGTGTCAATCAACTTGTTTTTAAGTTTTATGAAATATTAAATTCAATTTTCATTAAACATGTTCCACGTAAGATATTTTCTAATAAATGCTATCCGCCATGGTTTGATGGTGATTTAATTAGATCTATTAAGCTGAAGAATAATGCGTGGCATATAATAATAATAATAATAATAATAATAATATGCCTTTATTTTCATATGAAAAACAAATTATTGAACATAATCATATAAATGGCGGCGAGATCTAGCAGAGCTACTCATTCTAACCGCCGTTTTACAAAAAAAAAATACATAAATATATATACACAGAATAAATAAACACTACTATGTTTTAAGGGTATCAATGTGTTTCTTAATTGCTATTTTAAAACATTTGGAGTTGAATACTTATTTTAACTTATTCCTTATTTTTTTTCTATATTTTGTTAGGTGTAAAGTGTATTTGTCAAATTTTATTAGTGAACATTACATTAGCAGACAGTAAGATTTACTAGGCTCTTATTTTAAAAATATGTACGGTTCTAGCACAGTAATTATGTGCAATTAATAATTTAAAAAAAAATGGTGGAGGCGCCGCTCTATGTGTATTGTGACATAAAATCACAAATATTCCCTAAACTGTTAATTTTAGCGAGTTCAACCAGAGAATCTTATCGTTGGCAAATTCTTCAGGGAATTTATTTTGATGCAGGCAGATTTCGATCCTCATCTATGCAAAAATTCTGGGTTGTTAACCATTTAACATAGCCTGTCCCTGGCGTTCTGGGTATAATGAAGACTAGACTTACAACATCAAAAACAAGCTGTACGCATGTGTTATTGATCACCAAATTCGCTTTAAACTGAAGTTAATAGTTTAGAGACTGTAAATAAAAATATCTTTTTAATTTTCACCTTTAAGGGCCCGTAACTTGTTAGCGAAGGTCCGTATGAAAAAAATTTATATGAAGAACTGATATTATTTAGACCTCGTCTATTTGTATTCTACTTTTTTGTATCAAGTACCGGGACACCCGTGCAAAGAAAGAACGAAAGAAACTTGAACTAATGAATTGTCTAATTAATAGTAAAAATTCTCGAAACATTTGTACATACGCCTTTGGCGGAAATATAAGTCAATAGGTACCTACCAAAACTACTAATTTAGGCATATGTGTTTATACTTATATCGGCATAGAAAATTTACATTTTTTTCTCTGCCCCCTTTAACTTAATGTTATCCTCAATTTGTTCTTTCTACTGTTTTAACACCAACATAACTTTATCAATTTTTGTAATTCTATTATACGGGGTCTTCAGAAAATAACCGAACTTTAGTTTTTTAAACTTTATTGTTAATTTTATACATTATTTGTCCTTGTCGTCTTCAAAGTACTCCCCTCCCATATTTACATAATTTGGAACAGTTTGGGATAGTTTAATTTGAAATAGCCTTTGAAGCCTCTAACGAATTTGCTTTGATGTCATCAATAGTTTGAAATCGACGTCCTTTCAGCACTGATTTTAATTTCGGAAATAAGAAAAAATCGCAAGGAGCCAGATCTGGCGAGTAAGGAGGTTGAGGAAGGACAGTAATCTTATTTTTGGTACAAAACTGCTGAATGTGCGGGCGATTGTCATGGTGCAAGAACCATGAGTTGTCTCGCCACAATTCTGGTCTCTTTTTTTGCGGATTTTTTCACGTAACTATTGTAAAACGCCTTAATAGAACGCACGGTTCACTTGAGGCACATAATCAAAACGCACAATTCCAAGTCGAAAAAAACAGTGATCATCACTTTGACATTGGATCGAGACTGACGTGTTTTCTTGGGGTGTGGAGATCCTTTGCTAATCCATTGTGATGACTGAACTTTTGTCTCAATGTCGTAGCCGTAAACCCAGCTTTAGCCTCCCGTTATGATCCTCTGAATGAACGTTTCATCGTCACTGGACTGTTCAAGGAGTTGCCGACAAACGTTCACACGATTTTCTTTCTGTTGTTCGGTCACCAAATGAGGAACAAGTTTTGCTTGCATGTTCAATTTTTCAGTCAAAATTTCATGGCATTACCCAATTGAGATTCTAACCGCTTCTGCAATTTCTCTGGCAGTCAATCGTCGATTACACGCACCAGATCTTTGACTTTCTGAATGAGCTGGTCGAGGATCATCTTCAATTGACTGACAACAATTTTTACACTCCTAACGTTGCGTACGACCCAGAGCATCGTTTCACGCAAAATTTTACGTTGCACCTATGTTCCAGAAAATTGCATATTTTAAAAATCGTACTTAAATACGATGCACTCAAACAACAATATCACGAAAGTTAAATGAGATATCAACAATCCAAGAACATATGATTACAGAGGAAGTTATGCGTAACGCAATGCTGCCAACAGCATATGACTAAATATCTCTATTAGCGCCTAATAAAAAAAGTTCGGTTATTTTCTGAACAGGTCTCGTATACTATTATTATACGAACATTTTTCTTTATTTGAAGGATATGAAATTCATTTTAGATTTACTAGATATTATAAACAAATTTCGCTTCAACAATTTATTTGCAATTATTGTTATTTTTAAGGTTTTGGATTCAGGGGTTATGACATCCCTAGACGACTTTACAAGAGTGTGTAACCCCAAACTGATGGTGTTTGATCTAAGAACGGACCAGATAGTACGCACTGTGATTTTCCCAAGAGAGGTGCTTAGGCCATCTTCACTTCTAACCAATTTGATAATAGATGAAGATGTCCAAGGAAGATGCGATTCGGCATTTGTATACATGTCAGACACAGCGTCGCCAGGTAAAAAAAAATATTTAATTAGGTTATAAGTTGCTTTAGAAATGTATGACAATTTAGTAATTATTTAAGAATTCCTGCTACATGATGTCAATTCAAAGAAAATCGTTAAGAGAACTGTATATTTTAAGTAATATTTGTTATTATTTATTAGTTTTAATACCAATTTCTAATTTTCAAAATTATAAAAGAAGATTCTATAAACAGTTGTTGCAGAAACAAAATTAGATACAGTTTAAAAAGTATTCAGTTTTGTGGGACTCGATGAAGTGATTGTATAACCTCATCACCATGCAAAGTATTTATTACATGTATGTAAACACATAGGAGAATTCATATAATTAAAATTATCTCATTCATTAGTTGACATTGATACATCAACACGATATTTTACTACACTATTATTAGAAGTGTAGTGTAGTACTCATCTTTTCCTTGTTCAAAGTTATGTTATTATTACATCTCTCTAGGTTAGTAAAGTCTTTAATAATTACATACTATTACAAACGTCAATTTATACTACAGTAAAGAGATAAAAACAAGGTGCTACGCATCTTTAAATTTTAATAGCGTAATAATTCTGAAGACTGAAACACCTAAAACTATTTTTATTTGTTGTTCCTAAGTTACAAGTCCATGAAATGAAATGTAAACCAAAAGATTTAAATTCATGATGCAAATAAAAATGTATCTTCATTAATAATATCTTCCAAATACTTTCCTTCATTCTGAATGCAAGCTTACTCGTTATGCTGATAGATGATGCTTGTTTCCTCCTGATAGTTGTTCAATTTGTTGACTACACTTGAATAATTCAGCTCTAATAGCGTTTGAGATTTGCACATAAGCCTGTAACTTGAGAACAAATAAAGATCGACATATCACTTCTGTCTAAATGTCAAATTTTCCATGTTTTGAAAAGTTATCTTATTGAATAATACCTCTTATATGTTCAATGAATAAGTGTGATATACATAGATATACTTTATTTATATTTTTCAATAGCTTTATAATTTTGATTTAGGTCTAGTGGTATATGACGGTTTAAAGGACCAAGCTTGGAGAATAATGCATCCAGCTTTCTTCCCTGATCCAGACTTCTCGGACTACAATGTCGATGGCGAGTCATTTACACTGATGGACGGCGTAGTAGGCTTAGCACACTCTCCCACACTATCGACACTTTATTTCCAACCTTTAGCAACTGACAGGTGAGAAACCAATTGATTGCATAATAAAATCTAATATACTTTAAACAATTTGAGTCAAACAATTCTGAACAAATGAAATGAGCTTGATTTAAATATTATACTGTCTTGATAATTGTCAATAATTGAACAATTGTCGTAAATTTCTTAAGAGATGTTTGCTCTCTTTTTCAAAAGAAGCTCTAAAACTGTTGATAAGTCCTCTGACTGATTTGTATAGGTATGCTGCATATACTTACTGGATCATGGTTTAAAGTCACTGACTGTGATATGCCATCCCTTGATTTATATAATGAGTCGTTCATAAACCCTCACCACGTTGAAATTTTTCTATATTTCTGCCTCTTCTCTATAAATCAAAACCTTACCTCTCTCACTAGAATTCTGGTACTACTTAAATATACAATACTTTGAGGCTCCACGGATATAACAATGTAAAAACACTTCTGGGATTTGGGAGAAAATGGTACCTTTCCTTTTCTGGGTCGTCATCACATACGGATCGGAATCTGAACGGTGAGTCTCATCACCACCCAATTTAGAAACAAAGTATCGTCAATATATTATTGCAACGAGCACTCGCCATCTGTGTACCAGAATATTTGGATAAAGGATTAACTGATGATCAGTTATGAGAGAAAATTGATATTCTAAGGGCAAGAAATAAGAAAGAAAGGAAAGAATTAATATCTGACAACAAACATATCCACATTGTATGTATATACGAATGCACTGACAAGACAGGCCGCCTTTTCAAAAATTGCAATACTGTCTATGGTACTTCAAAGGAAATGAGAGTAGTTTTTCTCAAGGTACAGCATCCTATGTGTGGCAAAATATACTTTAAGCAAACAGGAGCAAAATGTGAGCTATAACAATATAGAAAAATCAGTATTTGATCAAGACTCTGCAGAGAACTACTAGAAAAATCTGGATAATTTCAACGAAAGCGAAAGACAACGACGCAAAAGCTTAAAACTACTTCGAAAACGGTTCATACCTGCAAATCAAGGATATATCTTCATGCGGTTTTCAACTGATACTTTCATTCGTTTGTTAACTTTTTCCTTTATCAACCAAAAATATCATTTATCATTTCAATTATTATTTTCAAGAAAATGTGGAAAGTTTATTCATTTTTAAAAAATCGCCATCTTTTACAATACAAACCAAAATGATTACCTAATATAATAAAAATTTGATGAATTAACATAGGTATTCTCTTTGTAATGGTATCAAGTTTGCAATTTATTATGAATCAAACCAAATATAGGCATTTTTTTCAAATAATGTTACTCCTCCTCTCCTTTCCTTATTTGACACGTTACATTAAAAACTGTGTAAACAAAACAAGATAAACCATGTTCAGAATTACAATGAATACAATTTGATCCATCCTAATTAAATACATTTGAAAAAGTGCGTTTTTGTAGTTGATCATGCCTATTAGACCATATCTTAACGATATGAGAAACTTATTTGAACACCTTATAATAATGGTTTCTTTTACATTTTCCCCTAACATTTTTTTATTTATGTACTTTTTTCGGTATGAAATCATTAATTAAACTCAAAATTAAGAAATAATTTGACAAAGCAAATAATGTACCACAATAAATAATTTTGAAAGTATTTATATAGAAACAATTAATAAAACATAACAAGGCTAACTAAAATTACATAAGCAGTGAAACAATGTCTGCTGAAATATTAATAAATGCCGACACAAGCAACTGCAAAATTTCTATTTCTTTTTCATTTGCTGACGTACGTTTTCAGTTAAAAGTTAACAATACTTTAAGAGAACTTAATTAGCTAAATGGTGAGAGTAGATTAATTCTATAAATAATATAAAATTATCGGAAAATGTATTTCCAACCTCTGTTTTATAGTTACTACGAAACAATTGCAAAATATTGTTAACACTAATTATTTATAATTGTTTCGTCTACGTAACTACTCACGACTTCTTCCTAACCGCCATAAGGATGTGGGGATTTCTTTTGAAAACTCCACAGTTTTGTTTTTACTTCTTGCGGCTTGTGGTTGACCAGATCGAGACTTACAGTACATCCGTTGGTCTATATTTACTTTTTGGTTGAAACATCAACTTTCTTCGTTAACGAGAATTTATTGAATCAAACGGATATTAAGCAAGTTTTCAGACGTTGATATGTTACCGTGTTTTGAATTTATTTTTTCCGAATTCATTTTCCGTGGTCGGCTGAACGGCTAGAAAAGTTAACAGACCATGGCTGATACCTGAAAGATGTTGTTTCATTCAGTAACGACCCGGTAATTCCGTAAACTACTATAAGGCGCGTTTTTTTTAGTAAGATTGCTTTAAATTGAAAAGAAAAATGGTAAAATAATGATTATATGTTACACCTGAACCTGTAGAGTTTTCTTCATTTTTTCCAAATAATATTTTTTTTGATTAATAACCAGTTAATAATAAGTTACTGTTGGACTGGGAATTAAATACCTTTCATTTATTTTTTACCTCCATAAATTTATTTTAATAAGAAATTGCACTGAAAATAGGTACACCTACGAAGAAACACGCCTACGTAACTGCAAAACAGGGTGTGTACGGACCTCACCTTGAATGCTTGGAAAAAAACTCATATCAACACTTGTTTAAGCGGTATTAAATGATAATATAAAAAATGTTCCCAATTCGGGAATACATTTCTCTAAATCTGAAACTCAAAATTTCAAATTTTAATGCATCGTAAAGAGTAGATTTTTCTTCAGTAGTTTTTTTCTAATTCAGTCACTGAAAAAATATATTGAAACGTAATATTTTCGTTATTATTAACAATTGAACTAAACATTTTTATATAATTTTTATATATATCTATAGGAGATCATGAATAAGTATTATTATCTTGCTAAATGAAAATTTCAATCAAGTGATTGAAATTTTTTTCCTAACAATTTCAAAAAGAATCAATACAGTGAAAACATAGTTTTTTATTCAAGATAACTCCTAGTCTTATAGTGAAAATTTTTGCAAGATCTAAAATGGATGGATATAATTATTCACTTGCATCTCAACTCAAATATTTTTATAAATGACGAAGTTGTATATAAGTATATATGTATCTTGCAACATCTGTACATTTTTAGATACAATAACGTATAATTTGAAAATTTTGAAAACTCATATATTAACAGATGTTCATGCTATAATCTCAATTTTTTCCATAATTTTTCGCCCTCCATTGTTGTTATAATTCACGTGAGGGAGGAATATGCTTCTAATGTATAGTAATATGGAGTCAATAAGTGTAAAATACTAATACACAAAAACCGAAATGTATCTATTACCGATCTAGTTATCAAGTTATACTGAAATATCACGTACTGGCGATCTTTGTTTATTGACACACTTGGCGCGGATCTTATTTAAGAAACGCACCTTCCTTCTTCTACCACCTGCGGTATAAAATAAAAAAAATTACAATAAATTAAGTCGTAAAAAGTCATATTTATATGGTCTTAATTCTTTTTGCTTTCACATTGAACCAAAAATTGCTCTACATCTACTATACGAAGTGTAACAGTTGCATTGTGACAAACTTCCAAAGCTCATTCCTCTACTCAAAACGAACAAACAAAAGGTAGCAATAATGTATTTTTATAAAACGACTCCCAAGAACTTCATGATCCCCAAAGATTAGATATAAAATACAGTTCTTAAGCAGTTATTCCATTGAGAAAAAAAATAGAAGGGGTTAAAACCTTCCTTTCAGATTTGGATACAATATAGTTGTAAAAAGCATATTTATACGATCTTAATCCTTTCTTCGTTCATAATAAGCCAAAAATTGCTGTACGTCTACTATACGAAGTGTAACAGCTGCGTCGTGACAAACTTCCAGTACTCAAAACTGTACTCAAAACAAACAAACAAAAGATCGGAATAACGTATTTTTATAAAACGATTCCCAAGGACATCATGATCTTCAAATAATAGATATGGATAATAATTTTTAATCAGATCGATGTCATTGAAAAAAACTACAAGTTATTGCATAAAACCTCCCTTTACAGATTTGGATAGACCATATCCAATGAAGTCGTCTGTGCCACAAACCATTGCAACATTAACAGCTCGTCAGCAGCAGACAATAGATAAAAGCCAATTAGTCTGCTTTATTTTCTTAACAATTATTATAAAAGATTAACAATCAATAACACAAGGCCACAAAAAAGAAACAAAGTATGGTCAGTTCGTGTTTTGATCCTAATATCAAGACGGGTCAGTGATTGGGAAAATATTCGAATTCATGATTGCATTATACTATAACGCCATAACACTGTAGCTACCTAATCCCGTAATCACATAATCCCGCAACTCCATAACCCGGGATATATAAGAATATAAAACCGTGAAGCTAGGTGGGAACATGGATCTTCAGGCGTTCGAAACCACATGAGATTTCCTAACCCAATAACCCCATAATGATGTATAACCCCAAAGCTCTAAAGTATATAACTGTGAGTTAGCAAGCTTCTATAAGGAAATAACCCAATAACCACGTAATCCGATAACCCTGAGTGCGCAAAGGTGTATAACCACAAAACTCTAAGGAATTGATTCTGTAGTCTTGTTCTAACTCCGTAATATCTTAACGCATGGCATGCAAGCTCCAGTATGGTCCATGGTCCGCGAAATACAGATTTCTGTTACAAAAGTCACCCGGAATGTTTTCTATTTGTATTTACCTACACTGAAAAAACATAATAGTACATCCTTGACTGTACAATCAAAGACCTTTTATACAGTCACAGTTTTTGTGATCAAAATCGTTCAATTAACATATCACAGGATTGTGGAGATATACCTAAGGTTGGGGGACTATGGTGCAATGAGATTATGAATTCCAATGTTTTTCCAACCACTGACTACTCAAGTCGGTTATAAAAACACTCGGAAACCGCTTTCTAAAGGAGTTTCTTTATTTTAGAGTCAAAACACGTTTGATCACGTTTCAATAGGTCAAAATACTACGTGATACACAGGTAGGTTCATGATCCAGTCCTATTTGTTATTGTGGCTCTACGTAATTTAAATCTCTTTAAATTTAATTTAATAATATTTATAATGGCCTATCGAATTCTAAAAGAAGATTTGTCATATCAAATCATGTTGGAATCTTTCAGATTACTCCTAATTCCAATGCTACTGGTTAATATTTGTCCAAATTTAGCATAAACCTAGCTCTTACCAATTATAAAATTTGATGTTACATCAGCAATGGTTCTTGAGATCAAAAGCTGGGTTCAATTTTCAATTTTTAAAGTATTGTGAAGCCCTAATAGTCCGGTCGGCAGAGGCCGAAAAGTTACTGTTGGTGACATTTTCTTGATAACTCGGAAATAACTACACAGGAATACTTTAAATGATGAGTACAATAACAGGCTAATTTGCTGACAAAGTATTTTATCAGGAAAAAAGTTATTAACAATTTAATCGTGAAAAAAATTTTATTTAGTAGTTTTCTTTAAATAACCCAGCGGGATGACTTTGTACGAAAAAATGCTTAGGACATGATTTTGTTCGTAATAAAAATAGCTACAAAATGGCGGTGGTCCGAATAAGAATTTTGTAATAACAAAGCCGTGACTGAAAAAACGGTATAAAACGTCAATTTTTTAAAGTTACTGTAAAAATGTCAATTATAAACAAAAAGTGATAAAACTTTCGAAAACTATAGTTCAATATACCTATATACAATAATGACGCTAAAGCCGAAAATCCGGAGAGCAAAACTTTTTGTTCTATAAGGTTTTATACATCCATCGGCNATTACTCCTAATTCCAATGTTACTGGTTAATATTTGTCCAAATTTAGCATAAACCTAGCTCTTACCAATTATAAAATTTGATGTTACATCAGCAATGATTCTTGAGATCAAAAGCTGGGTTCAATTTTCAATTTTTAAAGTATTGTGAAGCCCTAATAGTCCGGTCGGCAGAGGCCGAAAAGTTACTGTTGGTGACATTTTCTTGATAACTCGGAAATAACTACACAGGAATACTTTAAATGATGAGTACAATAACAGGCTAATTTCCTGACAAAGTATTTTATCAGGAAAAAAGTTATTAACAATTTAATCGTGAAAAAAATTTTATTTAGTAGTTTTCTTTAAATAACCCAGCGGGATGACTTTGTACGAAAAAATGCTTAGGACATGATTTTGTTCGTAATAAAAATAGCTACAAAATGGCGGTGGTCCGAATAAGAATTTTGTAATAACAAAGCCGTGACTGAAAAAACGGTATAAAACGTCAATTTTTTAAAGTTGCTGTAAAAATGTCAATTATAAACAAAAAGTGATAAAACTTTCGAAAACTATAGTTCAATATACCTATATACAATAATGACGCTAAAGCCGAAAATCCGGAGAGCAAAACTTTTTGTTCTATAAGGTTTTATACATCCATAGGCATCTGAAACTCGAAACTTTGCCAAATTTGTTCTAAGTTTTGGTATACAGATAGTATAAATATGCAGAAACAAAAGCAATTTGCAAAATTCAATTATCTTCATTTTTGCAGCTTTGGTAAGGTTTTATACGTCACCGTTTTTTTAATTTTTGGAAAAATATATATGCATATTTATAAAACATTTCATCACGGTAAATTAACCAGCACAATTACCTACAATTAAAAAAAAATAATTTTCATCGTTTAGATCCTAAGCGACTTACCATTTTGCGCCTGTTAACCGTAGTCGTACATTATTCAACATATCAACATAAAACAAAATCGTACGTGTGGGGTAAACCTTTAACTTTCCATTTTCGAGCGCGAGCTCCGCTCTTCGGCGCTTGTATACTATTAGAAATATGCAACAGTAAATTTAAACAATTGTTTACTTAAAGTTAAAGGTTTACCCCACACGTACGATTTTGTTTTATGTTAATATGTTGAATAATGTACGACTACGGCTAACAGGCGCAAAATGTTAAGTAGCTTAGGATCTAAACGATGAAAATATATATTTTTTTAAATTGTAGGTAATTATGCTGGCTAATCTACCGTAATGGAATATTTTATAAATATACATAAATATACGTCCAAAAATTAAAAAAACGGTGACGTATAAAACTAGGGTGACGTATAAAACCTTACCAAAACTGCAAAAATGAAGATACTTGAATTTTGCAAATTGCTTTTGGTTTCTGCATATTTACACTATGTGTGTACCAAATTTCAAGTGTCAGCAAAGCTTCGAACAAATTTGGCAAAGTTTCGAGTTTCAGATGCCGATGAATGTATAACACCTTATAGAACAAAAAGTTTTGCTCTCCTGATTTTCGGCTTTAGCGTCATTATTGTATATATATTGAACTATAGTTTTCGAAAGTTTTATCACTTTTTGTTTATAATTGACATTTTTACAGCAACTTAAAAAAAATGGCGTTTTAAACCGTTTTTTCAATCTCACGGCTTTGTTATTGCAAATTTCGTAATCGGACCACCGCCATTTTGTAGCTATTTTTATTACGAACAAAATCATGTCCTAAGCATTTTTTCGTCATCCCGAGTTATTTAAAGAAAACTACTAAAAAAAATTTTTTTCACGATTAAATTGTTAATAACTTTTTTCCTGATGAAATACTTTGTCAGCAAATTAGCCTGATATTGTACTCATCATTTAAAGTAGGCCTGTGTAGTTATTTCCGGGTTATCACGGTTTGACACAGGCCGATCCTCTACCAACTGGACTATAAGGAAAAGTTTTGATTAGAAAATATGATTCCTCTTTTTGCTTATTCTGAGGAATCAGTCCTAAAACATTGATCATATTATTAATAAACAAATTATCTTTCAGACTATTTAGCATCCCCACATCAGCGTTAACCAAAGGTCCACCAGTCGAATTCGAACAAATGCCAGTATCACTTGTTGGAAAAAAATCGTCACAAGGCCTGGGACTAACTATAAGTCTCACCGACGATACTCTTTACTTCAGCCCGTTAACTGAAACGGCAGTAGCCACTTGGAACCCAGTGACAGGCCAACAAAGGTAAGAAAGAAGGCACCTTTCTTTTTAATTTCTATTATAGAATTTAAATTTTTCATAATTCTCTCCTCAAGAATAATTTTTCACTGACCTTTTGACATATTTATTTCAGACTGCTTGCCTATGACTCAGAGAAACTTCAATTTCCCGCAGAACTGAGGTGGCTGAATGACGGCAGCGTATGGTTATTGAGTACAAGGTTCCAGAAGTTCTTCAAAAGAACCATTATATCATCGGAAATTAATTTAAGAATCATTAGAATCCCCCCTAAAAACGGACTTTCGCGGGGTGTAAACAATCATTTACTTTATTAATTTTTCTTTTTGCGTATTCGCATACTGTTGTCATACCGTTACCTACCTACTTTACTATCCATTTATAACATAATATTGATTAAGATAAGCCTGCCAAAAATGTAGTTTAAAACTGTAAATTCAAGGGAACAGTAATTTAAGTTTTAGAACATATTTCTCTTTGTTTTAGAATTAATTGTACAATGATTTAAAAGAATGAATGCCCCGAAGAATCCACAATAAAATGCCTGATCATGACACTGTTAATTTCCAAGGTTTTCGTTTAAATGTAAAAGACTGCAATATTGATATAGCAAAATTTGTATTCAAAGTTATATACATAAAACATAAACAATATTAATTAACATATATAAATATATCTAAATGCTAAACAAAATTGTGGATTTCCCACACAACTGGTTAATTAAGTAAAAACCGAGAAAAAATCAATTTTATTAAGTAACAAAAATCAAACAGCCTGTCTTTTGATATTTTCACTTTTTAAATTTGATTAAATAGATATTTTACACAAATGATATTTTCCAGAAAAGAAAATTTTATACATTATTTTGAAACAATTATTTTACAAAAAGTAGAATTAAAGGTGTAGGTACCTAAATTATTTATGTTTATTGTATAAATTTAATTATGTAATTTTTGCAGTTAGGATTAATTGTAAAATAGGCCAATTTAATGCCTTTTCAAAGCTAGCATAAAACAATAAATACATTTTTTTCTCGGAAACGATTTCGTAGATTTTTTATGATCTCTAATAATGAGTAATTTAAATTTTTGAAAAACCTCACAAAAAATATTCTGACCATTTAAATTTTTTGTGGCTTTATATATATTATAACTTTTATGTTTTTCCATTCACAGATGTAGCTTGTTACCAATAATAAGTATACCACGTTTGAAAAAAACATTGTTTTGAGAAAAAGTTTCGGCAAAATATCAATTAAAAAAACGTAATTTTGAAATTATCGACTCCGTTGCTATTAACTCACAGGAAAAGGGACACAGAAACTTCTGTTATAATCTAATAACTACTAGATAAAGTGATTAAATTTAGGATACAATTTGTAGTTTTAAGTTTTATTCTTGTGTTTTCACAAATATCTTTTATTATTTCATTTAGTGACATTTGTACAATCTTATTGTCTTCATCATTATCAGAAACAAAGAAGTATGGAATATTTTGACATTTTTTAATTTGAATGTTATAATAATCTCAGTCTCAGGAAACAGACTTATTTCATAAAACTCAACACTACTAATACATCTTTTTAATATTAATTTTAAAGTAAGAAAATTGACATTATGTAATTTGATACAGTTCATTTACTTTAATAATTTCCTAATAATACCGTATTTTTTTTATATATATTTCATGTCATTTATTCGAAAAAAAAACAATCACATCTACTATAAATATCTATGGATGTATTTGTTATAAGGGTATTTATATGTAGGTAAAACGTAAATAAACATACTTTACAGTATTTATAAATAAAAGATTTTAGTTTTCAATGTCAACTAAGAAATTTTATTTTTTCGAACTTTTGTATTTTTATACTGTTATATGTACATTAGTACAGTAGAATTTAAGCCATGTAAAAATATTTTACAATACACAATATTACTAGTCCAAGAAAGGCCTTATAATTATTGAATTGGGACAAACGTTATTAGGTACAATATTTTTGCATTACGTTTTTATATATAAATATAAAACTATAAATAAAAAGTAATTAAACTATTAATAAGTGGTTTTACTTATACAGTAGAAAAGGTGTTTGGATTTCCCTATACCTTTCTAAAGAATATATTTTAAAGAATAACTGAATAAACCGAAATATACATTAAAAGACAACAAAACTTTTTTAAAAATGATGGATATGTACCAAATACAAACAAATATAAATATTACTTACCTTCAATTTTCTTTTAAATATGTAATGGTCAGCAATTATGTGAAATTTTACTTGTAGCTGTTTTACATTGACAATTTATTGATCAATTAATTCATGAAGTCGCTTCATCAAGAAATTGGACAAGTGTAATGCACCAAATCTGTTGTCAAATAACTTCATGAATTTATTCATCAAGTTCTTGACGAATTAGAACATGTTCCAATTTTCGTCAATTTCTTCGTGAAGTTCAGAAGTACCAACTCAACAGATTTCCAGCCTCAGATCAGTAATGAAGTTATGTTATTGGAATATGTAAATAATTGTGTGGCGTCGTACTAGTTTTGCATTGTTTTTAGACTGATTTGTTACTTACAAACACTAATATTTATATAATATGTGTCAAAACGGAACCGCTGTTGTATCACTACAATTATGAGTGAAAAGGTGACATTTTTGAAATTTATTTGCTTCTTTGATTCGTTGGTAGAACTGATTCATGCGTCAAAAAACTTGACAAAGTCTGTAGCAGTGTAAAACCACACGGTTTACCAATAAATTCGTGAATTAATTCATGAAGAACTTCGTCAATTTATTCATCAATAAATTGTCAATGTAAAACAGCTATTACTAATAAAATTTGGAGCAATTGTGAATTTTCGGGCATTCCCTTTTCATTTCAAATAATGGCGTCCACGTACCACTTCCGGTTATACCGGAAGTCGCCATCAACTTGCTTATTTTAAATGGAACACCCTATATATATTATTGCAATTTTGGATTGTACGTGTTATTTTAGGTGGACTTTTATGATGTTTCCCTATTCCTAAAATTAACCGTTTTCGAGATATTTAATTAAAAAAAAAATGGAGAGAAACAGTGACTAGCTTCAAACCATGTGTATTTTATAGTAAGAAAGATAAAGATAAAGCAACAATATTTATGGTGGGATAGCTAGACCCCTAAGCTTCCCATCCATACTTTCAAAGTGGCTTAATTGCATACATGGTGCTAGAAATGCCGAGTTTAATTAACTGCAAACCTTCATAAGTCGATTTTTTTAAATGGAACACCCTGTATGTTTTTCTATAATCTGATACACAATTTTATTCTCTTTGGAACGGTATCAGGGTTCCCTATACCTATCTCTTCTAGTTTTTAAGTTATCTGCTATTTTTCGTGCAATCACCTAAAATCATGTAATTTCTTGCGAGGATAGCTGTGTAATTTTTAGCAAAACTTCAAAACAAACAACTAAACTGTCAGTTTGTTGTTAGTCTCTTGCAGTGACAGTTTAATTTAGTGTTTATAAGAAATGGAAAACAATACATATTCAAATGCTGATATTTTAAATTTATTATTCATTCACGGACGCTGCAATGGGATTATAAGCTGAACATGTACAGTTTTTAATGAGACATATCCAAATTTGCCACCAATGAGCAGAAAAAAGTTAAGAAGAATTTTAGCAAATCAACTAGAGTATGGTCGAATTTGTGCAGAAAGAATTTTACCAGAACCAGTAACTTCAAATGAAGATAATGTAATAAATGTATTTTAATGTTCTAATGGGCCTTCACCGTGAGACACCCTGTATATCTGTTTATACGAATTTAAGCTATTTTCTTTCTCACCCATATAGCAGTCATTGTAATCAAATCAGGACTGAAGTCCAGTAAATCTAATAATAATCATATTGGGACCGAGACATACAAGTAGATGGTATTTGTGGTTCATGTTCTAGTATTGATATTGAAATCAGTCCACCCACAGTTTCTCACTGAATGACGGTTGATATATTTTGCATTGATTAACTGTGTATTTGCTACTTACCTACATCATTTTCAACGAAACAAGGGGATATTTTTTATATCATTAGATTGTTTAAACGCACAAAAGCAGCACGGTACAATATGAAAGATGTTAAAGAAAACTGACAATGGGGACTACTTAAGCTAAGACTGTTTCAATAGATATTTCTCAAAAATTGAAAATTTGTATATACAGGGTGTCCCGTTCATGTTCAATGTTGCCTGCAAGTTCTGATGGGAAAATAATGGGGGTAGTTCATGTGACGTTTTTTTCTTCGACGCCTTGTTTTTGAAGATACAGTGGATAAAAATGTCAAAATTTGTACACGAGTAAACATCAACTGTGTGTTAAATAATGTGCAAACGGTTTCTTTCTGAAAAGCAGTGTCGCCCATACAGGTAATTGGAAGGATACAATCGAAAAAAAATATATATTAAAAGTCAAAATTTCTAAACCGTTTTGTAAACTCTAAAGCGTACTCCAAAGAAAAGATATATTTGTCGAAATTTTCGAGAAAAATGAAGTTGCATAGAAACAAATGGGGGAAAATTTAAGGTTTCACTGTACTATTTCAAGTTTTGCTATTTTATTCAATTGTGCAGCTATTTTGTTCTGTCTGTTTTCTAATATTTTTCTGTGCTTATCAGTTTTTTAAGCATTCATGTCTACCAACAATTCAGTCCATTCAACCATTATTTATTTTAGTAGTGGTAGTGTAGTAGTTTACAAAATCTAAAATTAGTTATTGATAGATAATTAATTACCATACTTTGTGTAATTTGATTTACTTTTTTAAATGTTATTGTACTACAATAAATTTAATTTTTTTTTTAAGTTAATAAAATATTTTACAATTTAACTGTTTTATGTGATACGTAAGAAATTAAAATAATATTCTGAAATGCAAAGACTATTGGTAGCTAAATGTCTTCAGCTCATTCAATGGTAACTTCAATGTACATTCAATACAATACATACATACAATATAGTACAATACATTCAACGTACTTGTGTCGTTTTATGTGAGCATAAAAATGGAACTTCATTTTTCTCGGAAATGGTACATGCTACCGAATTTCGACAAGTATATATATATTTTTTTATAGTATGCTTTATAGTTTACAAAACCGTTTAGAAATATAACAAATTTTGACTTTTAACATATTTTTTTTCGATTGTATCCCTCAAATTACCTGTATTGGCGACAATGCTTTTCAGAAAGAAACCGTTTGCACATTATTCTTTACGCACAGTTGATGTTTACTCGTGTACAAATTTTGACATTTTTATCTTTAGCCGATTTAAAGATATAAGGAAAACCATTTGGCAAATAACAACTGAAACACACTGTATCTCGAAAACGGGCCTATAAGAAAAAAAAGGTTATATGAACTACGCCCATTATTTTCCCAGGAGGAAGTTGCACACAATTTTTTTTAAACTTGTACGGGACACCCTGTATAGTGCGCGTACTTTAAGAAAATGGGACAAAAGGATTTGATAAACGTGTACAATACCGGTAGTTAAATATATTTGATCTGAATTTGATTTGAATTAGCTTAATACATCTGAAAATTGTATTTTATTTTTTAGTGATTGTCACTGACCTACATGTAGAATACTTTTCTTGCCATAATTATTTTTAGAGCGAATCAAACTTATGTGACAGTTTAGAAATGTATTTACAGTGTTACAAAATTTGCCTATCACTGATGTTTACAAGATGTCACTTAAATTTGACATCCTGCAATATTACTTTAAATACATTTTCAAGAAAAAAGTC